ATCTTCAGCTGTTGATATTAAGGCATTATTGTCTTAGTCCATGCAGGAATTCTCATTGTGAAGTATGCAATAATAAAGTTAGATTCATACACACTGGAAAGTATCTAATTCTTAGGAAACTTGCCAGACAATGTGGGGTTTTTTAAGTCATCAGTGTTTTTCCAAAATTGAGCTTGCCATCTTTCTTCTTAGGGAAAAACACACAGATTGTTCCTTGATGACCATTATAAAAACAAGCATTAGGTTTTCTTTAGAATAAGTATTATTTCAAGAAGAACATTCCTCTTTTAACTTTTATACCAGGCCCATTGTTTCTTTTGCTTCCTGCACACCTGCAAATATCTAGAGTATTTGTTCTAATGATTTAAACCATCCTCAGGAAGACCTAGGCTTACATGGTCAATCATTCCCTTGCTATAAATGGTGTTTGCATTTCCCAGCTCATTATTTGTAGCAGTTCCTGTAGAGAAACATGTTTAGTCTGAAAGGATCAGATGCAGTTTGAGATCCCATTTGATGGCAAGTGATATGTTTTTATACACTTTTATCATAGCACTGACTGTGGAAATAGATAATAAAATTTGCCTCTTCAGTTATGAGCCATTGACGTGTGGAAGGTGATGCAGATACTTCTGAAAGATTGTTGTGCACAAAGTTTTCTGTTTCTTTAAAACCTTTTCTCAATTTTTTTTCCTTGCACAGATGCTCTTTTTGTCAGGCTTGTTGGATGTTGTGAATGTTACAGACATTGACTGAGTTGGTTTTTGAGGTCAATTAAAACAGTAAGCAAATACACATACTTGATTTAGGGAGGGGATCGCTTTTTAAGTGAGACTGGCAATAAAGGTAATGAAGAAATCAGTATGTTTTTCAGAACTTTGGTTTGAAGTAAATTTTCTGCTGGTGTCATTACAAGGGTTCTGTGAATATCAAGTACCTAACTGCTCTTGGCCTCACAGCTTCATAGTTTTGTTAGACCATCAATAATCTTAACATAGCACCCAAATTAGCATCTGAATACACTTTAATTTGAAGTCACGAAAATATCTGTCTTTGAAATCTGTCTGTCTGTATCAGACCAGGTGCCTGCAGGAGTGACAATAGTTTATTACTTCATAACTTTAGCGTACTTTAGGGCTTGACCCACAGCAGCAAGCATCTGATGTTTTCTTCTACCTTGGCAGTCAAATTTGTACAAGGAAAAGAAGTGTTACCTCTTAATCCATTATGGTAATTCACTTCTGCATTGAAGCAGTGGAGAATCACAAATACCAGCATTTTGTTGTTCTGTGTACTCTTTAACTGGGTGTTCCAGAATAGGTTTTAAAAAAGAAGTCATGTATGTGATGGTGGGTTTTCTTGTGGTGTTTTTATTTTTAGGTAGGTGTGAAAGTAGGTGTTCGTACAAGGGGATGCAATGGACTTTCCTACACATTAGAATATACAAAATCAAAAGGAGACTCTGATGAAGAAGTTGTTCAAGATGGTGAGTTTCTGCTGCAGCAGAACAAACTTCTGTGGTGGGAGGGAAGATACATGTTGGAACTTACTCAAAGTAACGCCATTTCCAGCACAAATCCAGAACACAGTCCCGTACAAGCTACTGTGGAGGAAATTAACTCTATCCCAATTAAAACCTGCAGAGTTCTATACATTTTTCCATTTTTAATAGAAATCTGTGTCACTGGTCTCTTTGTCAAATACAGAGTTTTATGGACGAATTTAGTGTTTGTTTCTCTTTCCTTTTTCTGTAAGTTCCTAAAATTCCTCTTGTGGGTGTCGTTTTAGGGTTTTTTTAGGCATGACTGAACTCTGTTTTATTGTGTCCAGGAATGTTACTTTTAATTTGGTGGGGAAGTAAGAGATCTAAACATAAGTGGCATATCACAGTTGTTTTCTCACACAGGCTGCTAGACAGAGCCCATGTTCAGCTGACTTCAGAGTACCTGTGACCAACTCATGTGTTTTATTCTCTTAAACAGGGAATTAGCTGGAACTTCAGCAAATTACTAAATTGAACCAGAGTGTATGAGGATAGGTACTGCCACCTATTTCTGCAGGTCGCTCTTGATTCCAGATTCATATGGCTTCTGAGTCAGACCTGCTTTAGCTTTACAGGGTTAAAAACAGTTTTTTCAGAAGGCATTTCCTGTTTTGGATCTTTAGGAAGATAAAAGCAGTTTCCTTTAGTCAGGTCAGAGGTCTTAAGTTCCAAAACCAGGCAGTGTTTTGGATGTGCCTGTTTTGTGTTTTGTTTTGGTTGATTAGTATTAGACAGATTTCCAGTGAATGCTCTGATTTTTGTGTAGCTCTGTGCTCACAGAGATAGCGACTTAAGATTCTGGCACAAAATTTCTGGCTTTTAGGTACTAAATGACTGCTTCAGGGGTAAGGTCCATAAACTCTTTCATGAGGTTTAGTCTTCGCTGTCAGTAAACTGTCCAAATTGACCCCAAAAAAGTGTGTGGATTCAATTCAGTTGCCCACAGACTGGAGTTGTGTTAGTAGTAGGTTTTGTCTCAGTGTCTGCTGTGGTAAAACAGCTTTCCAGCAATCTCTCATATAACATAATGAATTATTATTGCTGCGTACTGATAAAATTTTACATTGGATTTTTATCATTTCCTAGTCTGTGAGCAACTAAAGCAGTCCACTCACAGCTTTGTATCGGATGTAGTTTTAAACTTGAGTAACTTTCCAGGGAAGTTGGTGACTGTATCCTATAGGAAAGCAAGCTCCTAGTTCCTAAAATGTACAGCTAAATCCTTAAAGGTTGTGATTATAGGTTCACATATTTGCCTTATTGTAGGATTAAGTTTTTCTAACAACTGATGTAGACTTAATGTTTTTAGCACATCAAAAAACAGTCATTTTGAGAGAAGAACGTTTGTTTTTTCAAAGTTTTGGGTCATCTTGTCAGATTCACAGACTTTAAGAAGAGCAGAAAATGGGTTAGTGTCTGTAATGCATGGGAATTGTGTACTGAAGCTGAGATTCATTCCCAAGTTCTGCAGCTTACTTCCCTGGGTATCATTTTTTAAGTTCCCCCTGAAAAACACAGACATTCAGGTGCACACACAAGTAACAGTTCTAGACTGTTGCCAGACTTCACTAGGTAGGGACAAAAACAGCAATGGAGGTGCCCCATGTTAGGCCAGGGAAACCAGGTTATATTGTTTGTCTTCATGTTTAGCTTCCTTTTTTCCCTATCGCTGGTCAAAAGAGAATTTCAAAGTGAATGAATATTTTGTTGTATGTAATTTCTTTTTTTTTTCTTCTTGTCTTCAAGGGGTTAGAGTGTTTATCGAGAAGAAGGCACAGCTGACACTTCTAGGAACTGAAATGGACTATGTAGAAGACAAACTGTCCAGTGAATTCGTCTTCAATAATCCAAACATCAAAGGAACATGTGGCTGTGGGGAAAGCTTTAACATCTGAAATCTCAGGACTACTTCTTTGACTTTGAACACCCCAAAACACTTACTATTATGACTTTCAAAAGCAAATGCATTTTATTCAGGTTCGTAGGCTGTATGTAAAGTTAAGAAAAACAAATGATTTTAAAAATGTAAACTGTGTGTTAAAATTCCACCACTGATGTAGTTATGCTGTAATTTTTGATGAGTTGACATCCAAAAGGTAAGAACAGTAAGTGCTACAGTAATATCTCTGTACTTCCACATGCCAGGGAAATAAAATCTCACTGTTCTTTTCCTTTGTCATTTTCTTTGTCCATCCTACTCATAGTTTCCCATCCAAAACCCATTTGAAAGACCATATTGTGTTTTGCTTTGATTTGGAGGAAACAAACAAACAAATGAACAAAACCCCTAACCATTCTTATATATTTGTTTGTTAAGATTTATATACACAGGCACACAGTCCTACTTGCTTTGTTTTCATAGTTTTCTGATGCTTTCATCTTTTTACAAGTGCATTTTCTGGTGGCTTATTTTCCCTTAAATCCAGGGAAACAAAAATGTCGTTCAGGTATTAATATAGTGATAGGCTACCATAGGTAGCACTGCTTGTAGAAATGCTTCAAAGAGTGCTCACCTAATTTTAATTCTGCTCCTCTCCTTGTTGAAGGCACAGTCTCTGCTGTTGGTGGTCATTTTCAAAACATGAAATACTTGAGCACCAGGGGATTAAAGCAGGAGACACACAGGCCTTGTTTCTTACATTTCCATTTTTTTTCCTCAACTGAATTACAAAGTTGCTTAAACTGCCTCCAGATTCTGATTCCTCATGTTCACAGAATGTGCTGTCTGTGCACTAAAACCTATGAAGTCGTTTTTGAGAGACACATCTGAGATTTCTCATTCCTTTTTGAGTAGTCACATCTGCTACTAATTTTGTTAATGTTTGAACTCCTTTTTGTAACTCTCTAGGTAGTAGGGGTTTTTCTCTAAAGCTTATGGTAACTTCTGCTTGACTCCTGTCTTGAGGTTAACTTGGTGGCAGGAGAAAAAGCATTTATAGTATTTCTAAAACTTAGTATTTCATATAGTTTTAAATTAAGCTAGACAGTAGTTAAAATATTTTAAGAGGCCATTTTATTGTTGGAATTAAAATGTTCTTAATCAGAATTTTGTTTTTGTAAACAAGAGGTTTTCAGCCTTACAAAGTCCTCAGCAATTCTTTGCTGATGCTGTGACAGAAATGTGTCTCTCCAGACCCTCTCAAAACGTGGTATGAGAGAGGAACTGTTCTGTCCTTTTATCTCGTGGCTGTCCAAAGATGACATTGCACAGCTGAGCTGCTCTCTTGTGCAAGAGAGAAGATAACATGTCTGCCTGGGAAACTGATTGCAACAGCTGGTGGGAAGGGTGCAGATAAAAAGTAGGGGACAACAGGAACAAGGATCTTGCAGTCAGGGTGCAGACAAGGAGGTGTTGAGGTGGAAGGGAAGAGAGAGCATTAAGTCTGCATGTTGAAAATCCAGAGGCCTACCTTGAGCTGGACAGTTGTGCCCACATGCCTCTCACCAGCTGCTGTAGGCACAGGATTACAGCTACATTTCTGTTCTGCCCTCTGCACCTTTTCACAGAGTGGAAGGAAGAATAAAAATTTTAAAATAAACCCAATAAACCATTGTTTTATGTAGTGCACAGGAACAGAATGTCAGAATTGCTACAGTCTAATATTAAACACTTGAATTTTGGTTGTATATCACCTTTTTCTGTAAGAACACTATTTCCTTCAACAGTCAGCTGTTGTACACATTTACTTTATGTTGTGATTCAGGAGTTACTGGTAATACACTGGCTAAGAGCTTTTCTAGTGCTCTAAGTATTTCAGTCTTGCCAAATAAAAACTTGCAGTTCATATGACATTGTCTAAAACTCCAAGCTAAGGGCATTTCTTCAGATTGCATTTCTCTGCTTCTTGCTAGAGATAAGACTTTGAATGTGGTAACACAGTGGTGGTTGCTGAGTGCTGGTACTTTTTCATTTAACTTGTTTTGGGGTGGAGGGGATATGTTTGAGAGTTATTTTAGACCCATGGCCTGTATAGTAATCTTTTTCATGTGTTCTGTGTGTATGCCTTGAATGAAAGTTTGCACTTTTGTACTCTTGTGAAATAATCATCTAAGTTGTCACCTTACTAAGACAGCTAATGCACAATGTGTTACACTTCTGCTAAAGTGCTATTTACAGTTGCATATACACATGGTTTTGTTGATTGGTCTATTACAATTTTGTGCGATGATGTATGTAGAGTCCTCAGTTCTATTAATAAATATTGCCTGTTGGTAACCACAAAATATTCCTATCTTTTGAAGCAATACAAAGCCCTGATGGGAGGGAATAGGTTTGCTTGGTAGGATTACAAAGTAGATACAATACTATTGTTACTTGAGTTAATATTTCTCAAAAACATGAAACATTTCCAGATACTGGCAGCATTGAAATGGCATAGAAACACATGGCAAACAAAAAATTACCTGGCTATGTACTTTAGGTGTTTTTGCATACCAGAAGAGTGGGATGTTAGTGCATACACTGCTGTTAAACTTTGTGACACACAAAGTTTGTGTGTAAGGAAGAAATTCTAGCAACCAAGGTGAATATATTTTGAAGGCTTCTATGTGCCATAAAGTCACTGTGGTATGTTTTAATGCAGGATAATGTTTTTTGATCAAAGCAACTGTTGACACGAAAGGTTTTA